GCGGGAGCGCGGAGCGGGAGCGCGGGCGGCGGCGCCGCCGAACCCGGGGGCGCGGGGAGAGCGGAGGCTCCGCGGCGGGGCTGGACCGGAGGCTGCGTTTTGTGCTCAGCTCCTTCTGGCAGGTTGGCTCCGGGACTGAGCGGGCGGTAAATACTGACCCCATTTTATTTTGTTTTATTTTATTTTGTTTTGTTTTATATTATCCCTTATTTTATTTTATTTTATTTTATTTTATTTTATTTTATTTTATTTATTTTATTTTATTTTATTTTATTTTATTTTATTTTATTTTATTTTATTTTGTCTTATTTTGTCTTATTTTGTCTTATTTTATTTTGTCTTATTTTGCCTTATCCCTTATTTTATTTTATTGTGTTTTGTTTATTTTTCCCCTTATTTTGTTGTATTTTATTTTCCCCGCTCAGTAGCCACTTCTCATAAAGGGGGCTGCAGGACAGAGCCCCTTGTGTGCCAGGGCAGATCCCAGTYGCACTGTGCACCTTGTCTCTTGGCGCTGTGACAGCTCCACGCGTCTGCGTTGCGTGATGGCACCTCTAATGTGCTGAGTTTGGGCAGGAAAAAGAGCTCCCTAAGCCTGTGAGGTGGTCGCAGAAAGATCTTATCTTGTTAAAATTCCACGTGTTAAGTAAATGGGAACTGGGCATATTGGAGCCTTGGTGCTGCTCCAGTAAGAACTGGTGATAAATATGGATCGATATGTATATATTTTTTTAACTGCAATCATCTGCAGATTGCTATAAATGGGAACAGAGTAACAGATAAATACTGTAGTCATCCAGTGCTGGGCAGAGTTTGGCTTGGAGCTGTTGGGTAGGAATTGTCAGTTTGATTTTCTTGCGGAGACTTTTGCATTGATAATCTCCATYGCAAAACTATATTTTTTTCCTGTTCCTTAACCAAGCTGGTCATATCCCATCGAATTCCCATCAGGGAATCATGGGCATAGGTAGCTCTGTGCTGTCCCTAAAACCTTGCTTGTTGTAAAGTTAGGGAATTCAACTAGTCTTTGACAGCCCACCTGGAGGTCTATTCTGCCCTTTTTTTCCCTTGCTATAAAAGAATTCTTTGAATTCTTGTTAAATCCTTAGTTCAGCTCTGTAGAATGAACGCAGACTGTTAATCGACTTAGCAGCTTTGGTAGCTGTGAGGGAGATTAAGATCTGTTCCCTGCCATTTCCCCCCTTGAATTAGCATGTAGTGGAAACTGCGTTGTTTGATATAGGTCCATCAATGCACGTGTGCTTTATAAATAAAGCTTGGCAGGTCCTCCTGGGACGAATGCTTGCATTCTCCAGTCTGCAAAAAGCCTCTGCTTGTCCTTAGCTTCCCAGCTATTGTATGTATGATTTTGCTGATAAAGGTAAGGACTGATTTCTGTATGTTTTTAGTGATAAAGGAAGGCATGCGCTTCTCGAATCGGGCCCCCCGGTGAATCAAGGTCCAAGCACAAATTGTGTTTGGTAAGAGCAGGGTTGGGAGCACAAGGAGCGGGTCTGCGGAGGAGCCTGYCGTGTTGGCAGCCTGTCCTGCTGTCCAGGTTATGTGACCTGGTTCGAGAGGAGCCCCGAGCACCTCCTGAGAGGCCGGTTGGGGCAGCTGAGGGAGGAAAGCTGCTGTCAGCAGACTGCAGCTCTGCGGGGATCTGTATCTAAGCTGGAAAATGCTGCAGAAGTCCACAAATCAAAAGCTTAAAAATTGCGAACAGTGAGCTGCTTTGGATTACAGCTTTGAGGCAGCAGGCAAATCACCAAGGTTTGTTAGGTTCGCCTTTCTGTTTCCTCGGTCTTTGCGTCCTTTCATCTTATCACTGTTTCACAGTGATTGGGCATTTTATCAGCATTATTAAGTGATAGCAGTTTCCATTGTGCGCTTTCCAAACAGACCTTTTTATTCCCTGACAGCACCCAGTGGCAAGTAGGTGAGATTGTATCAAATCCCGCTACAGGTGTGCTGAGGAAAGGGAGAGACATAACCTTGATGCATTCTCACAGACTTGCCTGAAATTGAGGATCCATRCATGAAGAGCCATCTGGGTGGAGAGGCTCTCCAAGAAAGGGGGATAAACTTGTTTTTGCAGGTGATAAAGCTGCTRCTCTAACACAGAATTCACAGGGCTTTAATTTTCAAGTGCTCAATGAGTTAGGCTCTGTTGCCCTAAGGTCACATCACTTTCAAGATCCTGTGCAGCCCAGATAGAGTCTAAGGGCTTTAGTAACATTAATAAAATGGTCTGAATTTATAAATGTCGCATATGTAACAGTAGAATAGCACATAAATCCATTACCAGCGTTTCTCCTGGAGCCTGGTTGTGTTGTTTTATCCAAAGGGAGACTGGCAATAAGTTTTGTGGCATGAGAGAAGATGATGTATTTAAGCACARGGCTAAATGCATATTGGTAAGAACCAAAGGTGAAAGATGGAGCCATTCTTCAAGAACAGTATCTGACAGTATTAAACAATCGAGACTTTTGCAAATACTGATTCCATCTTGTAGCATGCAAGGCATTGCCAAGGCTGATGCAAATGGATTATATTTTTCTGTAAATGACTCAGTAGATGATGTGACCAGGTACATGAGGTCCTTTTCCAGCCTTGTTTTGCGCTAGTGTTCAGAGGAATGCAGAGGATGATAAATTCACCTATTGCTGATGTGTGATCTAAAGAGTGATGATATATTTGTTAAATGAAAACAAAAATGATCTGATACATTTTAAATGACTGTTATTTTGTAATGAGCTTTTCTATAGCTGTTGAAATGGAGATTTTGGATAATGGAAGAGAAAACAGAAAAATAAGTAGACTTTCGGTAATTAGTTTGTTCTGCTTTAAATAATATTTATAAAAAAATATTATTATTATTAATAATAATAGATCTAGGAAACTGTTATAATAAAAAAATACTAGAAATCCTGGATTCAGATACTGATACTGAAATACAGAGATGATTCAAGGGAAGGGATATTATTTAGTAGCASAATGAGAAAGGCCTGACAGTGGGGTTTAAAGATACTTTGGTGGGTGAAAGGCTTGAGAGTCAAAGGCAGGTTATGTCTGGCTGCCTTTCAGAGGAGATGCCACAGCTCCGAGTGAGGTGCCAACTGGCGTGCACGAAGCAAAGGAGAACCAGTAGGAAAGTTGGTTTATCCTCTTATCATCATTACTATCCAGAAATTAGTTGAAATGCTTTCATGTTCTGTTGCATCTTTTCCCCCGAGAACTGGTTATGAATACTCTGTGAGAGTGGAATATTGAATTTCTGTCTTAAACATAAGAAAAAGAGTCTGCTTCCTTCTGGGAGTGGACTGAGTGATGATAGTGCTGTGGGCCCCATGGCTGGTTTATGKATTTCATTCCATAAACTGCTCCATGTAGGAGACACCGCTAACTTCAGGCACGGCCTGGAAGCTGGGCTCCCTCGCTGCCAGCAGTGTCCTCTCACAAGGACGAGGCCACAAGGACAGAGTCACGCTCTGAGTCAGGCTTTACTTCAGCCATGGACAGAAATGCCGTCTGCAGAGAGGCTTGGGAAGGAGCCTTCCCAACTGCTCTGCTGCCTGTTTTGGGAAGTACCAGGGTGGTCGGGGATGTTTCCAGCTCCTGGATATCCTCGTGCTCTACCTGTGGCACTGCTGTAGAGCATCAAAACTTCTTCTATTTCCTGACTGTGTCTTTGACCACAAGCAGTGGCTCCTGTTCTGTCTGCGGAGGTTAGTTCTTTGGAATGAGTGTGATGTGATCTGCACCTGTGTTATTGGCAGGCAAGGGATCAACTTCTTTGTGGGTCTCAAGCATTTAGACATTAGGCAGGTGTCTGGCTGGCCCTGCCAAGGCTGAGGCTGTCTGCATCTGCATGCAGATGCCTCCAGAATTTTATCATCACGCCCTCGTTCTTTTTTTTTCTTTTTTTTTTTTTCCCCATTAATCCTAAGCTGCAGCTAAATATGATTTTGAAACATTTTTGGTTTAGACTTAAGTGTCTAAAGTTCTAGTTTTAGTTTTATAGGTCCTTGAAGGTCTGCATGGATCCCTTCCAGAGTTATTAACATGGCAATGATAGAGGTCATATAAATTCCTAGATGGCAAGAACTGCTTCCTTGGAGGCGGAGTGGGGGGCTAGGATACCAGCCACCGGGCAAGCACCGCAGTTCCCGTGTGCTTTGACTGCCTCGCTAATTTGAAGATGGACAGATAACGATATCTGGGGGTTCTGAAACAACTGAGCAGAACACCAAAGGAGTGTTTTTCATACGTACCACCAGTCTTTGCTGATCATTGCTGCCCTCCCTCCTTTGGAAGTTTTGTAATTTTTCTAAATTTATGAGAGTTTTGTAATTCTTAACTTTACAGATTGTTGGAGCCCTTCTGTTGTGCTGCTGCAAGGCCCTTGCACTTCTGCAGCAACCAGAGACTCCTGGCATGTGCTTTGCCATTTTGCCGCTGTCTTCCTTTCCCTGCTGCTCCCTCTGGAATCACTCCTGATAGTGGGTTTTACTGCAAGCATGTGCCTGAACTAAATATAACTGTTAGCCCTTCGGTGTGAATGTTGGTCAGGGTGTAAGGTTTTGAAGGGCATATGTCTGCCCTCCCCATTCCACGTGCTGCCTGGAGCTGGCACTGGAGCAATGTCAAAGACGGTTGCTACAACAGCAGCAGCTTTGCCAGGCAGAGAACTGCTGAGCTGTCAGCTCTTGCATCCAAATTATGCCTTTTACCTCAGGGAGCACAAGTTATAAAAGCATGTGTCATGGAAACAGGGGCAGCGCCATGCCAATTCCTTGCTCTTTCTCCTTCTGCTTCACTCCCCACCATGCCAAAACTCAGACCTGCAGAAGAGGCTGCAGGAGGGGACGGGCAGCCCAGGTTGCAGCTGGTGGAGGGCAGCACTTGCGTGCAGGATGGCTCCCCTCACCTGGGCCACAGGTTATCAGGGAGCACAGGTTTCTTTCTCACCTGTAAAGCTGCTTCCTCCAGAGCAGGAGTGCAGACTTGCAGCCAGCCTCATGCAGCTGAAATTCCCTGAAATCTGGGGAAACTACAAGAGGGCTTTCTTTGAATTACTCTTATGTGGTCGCTGTCTTCCAGGCCAGCCAAAAAACTTCACTGATACAGTAATGTCGGTTAGAAAATTACTGTTTTTTATTTTATTTTTGTGACTAACATACCGGTTTCATCAGCTAATATAGTTTACTAGCATTTGTAGCATTTTGATGATACAGTCAAAATACTTTCTTTCAGAATATATGTATATTCCTAAAATAGAGAAACGTATTTGTGCTTGCTCAATACCTATAGCTGTACTCGTAATAGTTTTGTAATATCAACTGAATCTTGATATCAAAGTACTGTAGTAGTTTGTAGTGCATAATCATGAAGTCTCTATAAAGCAATTTGTATTTGCATTGGGTTTGTTTTAGTTCATAAAGACTGACTTAGAAATACACTGAAATACTCCTKATGTTTAACTTTGAACAACTCATGTAGTAGTGACAAGTGGTAGTGAGGATGCAGGTATCAGAGATGGTTGAGGACAGTCGCTGTTGTYGTTCAGGCTAAAATACACCTTGGATTTGTTTCTGGGCCTCTGCCATCTAAGCTAGTTTTGCTGCTTAAGTGCATCAGTTCCTTTCTTCCAAGAAGAAATGCAGGCAGGGCTGACTGCATAGCATGGATAAAGGTCTATTCTGGATGGCCTGAACATGGGTCATGGCAGGCTTGACTAGCACCATGAGGGAGGCAAGCTAGCTCTATCCCAGCTGATTTTATACCCTTGAATGTCCCTCATGTTGTGCCCTTGGGCATGCAACACAGTTGCAACCTAACTTTAGAAATAACTTTCTCKTTAATTAGAGCACTTTGAACTGAAAAACCACACAAAAAATTGTCTTGGAGCCACATAGTGATGTGGACTAGTACCTGTGAAATGGTTGCTGGGTTAATCCATACCTGGCCATATTGGTCCCAACCAGTGTGAAGGCAAAACTGTCATCTGTCTTTAGGCTGRGGTAAAATTTACCTCTTTATTAAAGTTTACTAGCAGCATGGGCATCTCTGATATGTGTCATTTATGTACAAGCTACATTTAAAATTACTTACATGTGTGAGAGTTGCCCTGCACATCCCAAATATATCTCAAAAAAAAATCTCTGGTATCTCAAAAATCCCATAGGAGAGGGAGATCTGGCCCTGTATCTGCTCAGTGGGCAGGTAGTTGGCTTTTGGGGCTGCCTGCTGATGTTTGACCTAGCCCTGTAGCCCTGCTTCCTTTCAGATCAAGATTTAAGTGATGACCAAGAAGCTCTTGTGCCAGGACAGCTCAGCTGCTCATCATGTGATGTAACCCTGCTTGTATGGCTGACCATGGACGTGTCCTTCTTGAACTGTGTGATCTAATGGGCCCGTCTTAGCTATAAAATCAGTGAGGACAGAGCTACAAATAACTTTCTCAAATAATTGGTGTTAATAATACCACAGGGCAAAAACACTGCCTAAGTCAGATGAACTTCAGAGGAGAATTATAGTGGTCAGTATTATAGTTGGGACTTCTGCAGGCTCCGAAGCCCAAAGGTGCATATAAGCTGCACCTTGCAGCTTATGCATTCCAGCTACTACTAATTTTCATAATATGTCATATTTTGGATCAAGTTCAACACTCTGGCAAAAGAGATGCTTGACCTGCAAGGTTTTACAGCCAGTCTAGAGCTAAAACTAAGGAGACAAATTGTTAATATTTAATCCTAGGGAGAGAAACTCTAACTTATTTATGTTGTAGACTTCACTGTTGTCTTGAGTAATATGTAACAGGGCTCAAAATACTGTGTGTGTGATGTGGACATAAATGTTGAATGCTTTTTTTTTTTCACTTTGGTTAGAGTTTCTGCCTGTTCTGAGGATAAAAATATCTGTTCCCTGGAGACTACCTGTTCCTCTTCCTTTGCCACTCCTTCCCCTGGCTCTGTACTCCCACAAAGGTCATGGCTATGAGAAATCTTTAGTATGCCAGGCTCTAGGCACGTAACTCATAATTCATCTGCTAGAATAATATTGTCACAGTTCCCAATATAGAAAAGTCTTCTCCTCTGTTTTAAATGTGATTGATCTATTTCTTTTTTGAACTACTAGACAATTTCAAAAAAGTTGTTTTTGACCAAATATTWCATAGTATTTATGATAGGATTAATATTAATCCTAAAATTAACATTATATCCTCTGTATATTATCTTCCATCAGCATTAAAACATTGTTTCATTAAAGATCCATTGGATTTTCATGCTAGTTTAGTCTGACATTGATATAAAGTGAACCCAAGAATAATCTGGCAAGTCTTGCATTGAGCCCTGTTTAGAAATCCTGTCGGAATACATCTAGTCTTACCTTTAAGATTTCAAGCAGTTCATCCTATCCTTTACAAACTTCRCCAATACTTTATCAGTTGTACATTTAAAAGTATGCACTTTCAGTTTTAGCTTAGATTTACTGCAGGCCATCGAGTCTTCCTTGAATCTTTATGTCGACTATGTTAAAATCCTTTCCCCATGTAGGTAGTTGAAGACTGCAGTCGAGGAACCTCATTAAACTAAATACTCGCATTGTTTTAGGCTTTGCAACAACAGACTGGCTCCCAGACCTGGACTGCTCTACTCCATTTGGTTCTGCATATGAATKAATTTTGTACTGGATTAAACCATTTCTATTGCTAATTTTTTTTTCTCTTGCATTATTAAATCTTTTTTTTTGCTTTACCTTCCCCACAGAGATTAAATTGTGAAGACTCCTATTTTCAGTAGCTTTTATACATTTACTTGATTGAGCTGTGATAGCTCAATCAATTTGAAGGTTTTCCATCTCCTTCCCATATTTTAACTAATGAGAGGTCTGGCTGGTGTTAACTTACAATTAACATGTCCTTGAGAAAAACACAAGTTTTTGTTTATTATCCTTTTGCCCTACTGTATTTTTAATTGCTAATCAACATGTAACTGGATTGGAGATGGATTTGGGCAGTGATTATTACAGGCTAGGGGAGCAAGCGCTCAGTGTTATGGTAACTACTTGTAAAATTAGGTTGTTAACAGTCTTTKAGCAAAATAGCGTTATTTTTCCCTTCTGCATGTTGAACAGAGAAGATATATGTTTAATTGCGCAGCTTTTCTGAGATAGCCACATTGATTATAATGCATCTTTTAATTTTAGGTACTGAACATGACTCCCACYGTTCAGTTCTCCTGTACTGAAGAGTAAGGACTGAGCCCATCACAGGCTCTTGCAGCTGGGTTCCTGCCAAGAACGGCAAATGTAAGCTTATGCATGACTTATGAGATAGTCATATATTTACAGGTTTGCAGATTCAAGAGCAGTATGTGCATGTGTGTGGTTACTGAGGTTTATTATCTTACATAAATCAGTTGCACAGTTGCAAACAGCATTCCAGGGCTTTGGAATACGTGCTCTGCAGTGGGCATGGGTGATTYCTGATAGTGTTACCAGGCTTTCCGTGCGATGTGTGGAGTAAGATGCTACAGTCCAAACCTGTGCTCATGACTTTATACCTGAATACTTTAAGCTTGACCTAATGCCTTTACTAAGAATTCAACAAGTATTGCTAATAACCTTCTCCAGCTGATCTCTTCTTACAAATATGCATTGATCTTTACATTGTTAATGATATTTGAGTGTTTTGGKTTTTTTACTTTCTCATTTTTTAAATATATCTTTGAGATACTTGTCACTTACATTCCTGGTACTTATATGGATCTCTGGTCTTTCTAATCTCTTCTGTAGCTCATAAAATTTTCCATGTATATTGTTCTAAAGTCAAATATTTATGCCCTGAGGCACACACGAGATCTAGTGTGTAGCTGTTTAGTATGCAAGCCTGCAGAACTGGGAAAAGCAGAGTAAGCTCCAAAGGCATTTGAGGTGCTGTTTTTAAATGGTACGTTCTAAGAACTTGATTTCTGGTGAGATTAGCAAAAGATTTTGCAGAAGGGCATTTCACCGAAGAAAAAATAAAAAGTGAGATGTTGGCTGTTCACACCATCAAATTTGCAGTAGTTTTGCTAGAGGTTTTGCAGATCTCTGGAATTAGAAACTAAGAAGTGTTTTGCCTTATGAGTCAAGCATTATGTATTTGACAGGACCTGATGAAGTATACAAAGAACAAAAATATTCCTAAGTGGGGTGGGGAGGAAGAGACACAGAGACTGAAACAGAAGCTGAAAATGAAGCAGAATGTGTCTTATAATTGTATCAATTAACTTTATCTTCCGTGCAGAGTTCGGTTTCCCCTCGCCCCCGTCGTGTCCCCCGTGTGCCCGGCCACCTCGCTGGGCTGCCMCCAGGGAGAGCATTGGGAATTGCCGCACGTCCCTTGTTCCCACAGGGAGCCTGGCTCAGCACTTTGGAAACAATAGCTGCTTCAGTGCTGGGCCCCGAAACAAAAACGCTGAGCGTACCAGCAGCAATGCATGAAAAATGTGATGAGCAGCCTTCCACCACAAAGAGGTTTCCATGCCAGTGTGTAGGTCCTGAGGATTTATTGCAGGGAGAAGCTAATCAGCAAGAAGTCCTTTTTTTTTTTTTTTTTTGGTACATCATCTGCCAACCCAGTACTTCGAGAAGTAAACTGTGAGATTTACTAATAATAGCAGGAAGGAAGAACCCTGTTAAACAAAGAGAGCAAAGCTGGAATGATTTCTGTGTGTAAAATTCAAGGATGTTTTTCCTCCCCAGTGCACACCCCTGTTTTTCTATTCGTCCTTCAGAAAGTGGAAAAAAGCCATCTCTAATAGAAGAATCTTGCTTTCAAGGGAGGATTGAGGGAAAAGAGGCAGGTTGCAAAGGTTTTAATGATTGCCATATGAAAATGATGTGAAGATGTGGAATGAATGGCAGCTACAGCTTTGAAAATCTTTTTTTTTTTTTTTTTTTTTTTTTTTACTTTTTTTTTGAATCAGGTCAGGAGAAACTTGTGGAACCAACTCACTGTGCCCTATTAGTAGCAGTCTCAATTTTCTATGAGCTGCTTTCAGTTTTAAATGAGCTGCAGCAGCATCATTAGCCTTACAGCTGCTGATGCCTCAGTGCTTGCTAGTGTGTTGCTTGCAGGCCTTCAGTTCACTGRTTTTACTCACTTCTAAACCAACTGGCTCAAGGGCTCAAGAATATTGTTTGATTTTACAGGAACAAAAATGCTACATTTTTGATCAAGAAACTTTCTAATTTGAATAATTCTAATCAACAGACAAGATGTAGTCTTCTTGTTTGAAGTATTCAAAACAAAATTTAGGAATTTCCTAGAATATTCACTCTGTGGACTGAGGGATCTCAGTTGGTGTTGCATAGATTTGAGGTCCTCTTGCAAGAGTGGAAAGCAAAATTTCAACTTTTCTATATGCTTTTAGTTTTAAAACTAAAGATTATGCCTAAATTGAATAGTCAGCCTAAATTATTTGACATGGAAAAATAGGTGAGAATTTAATTGTAAACTATGAACATCTTTTACCTTTGACATTATAGTCAATGACTTCATTTGGAACAATAAAGCTAAGGACTTGCTGTATGCTAGTAGAAAACTGGGGACGACATCTAGGAGTTCATTAAAACTGAATTGCCAAGGACATCTTTGCCCCAAGGGCGCCAAAGTTTTTAAGAGGGATAGAAAGCAGAGCTCAGATGGAGCTGTGTATTTTGACCAGTAGTTGTGCCTGGGTACACGCATGCATAAGTGCAGCAGTTAATATTTATTCTTTACAGCGTGGCAGTCGTCTCTCTCTCAAGTCCCCTGAAATTCATTAGGAAAGAAACCGCCTCCAGTGTATTTCAGTTGCACGAGTCAATATTTGTATTTCTGAGTACTTAAAATAAATCCCCACACTTTGCTGCCTTAAAAGGAGGAAATGCATGTATAAGTTGAGAAGGAGAGGTTGGAGAGGGATAAGATAYGTCTGAAAAAGTATGTATGAAAGAATAACAGTTCTCAATGCCAAATCATGTAATGGTGCCTGGGCAGGCTGGTTCTGATAATGTCATCCTGCACTGGAGACTCCCCTTGTTTGGTGAGGTTGGGGGAGCAATGGCAGCACCTMAATGCCAGCTGGGGAGTGAAGGGAGAGGAAGGCCGTCAGTCACCCAAACACAAAGGTAGCTTAGATATAGTGACATGGCGTTATATGTCTTCATGTGACATGCTGGGCACTCATTAAGGGTGGAAATACAGCAGGGCATGAAGGCTTTTAAAATCACAAGATTAATACGAGAGGAATTTAATCAGAAAATATAGATCTGTAGTTTCAGGAATTACTCATTCGCCCGATTACTAAAAAATCAATTTATTTCTCGTAAATGGTTCGTTTCTTAAAGACTTCTTAAACATTCTCGCTAAAAGGGTATTGCATAACCGTTGCTCGTAATTATCAATATATTATTTAATGTGAAAACCACGGTTCAGCATTTGATCTATTTATATGCTCTTTGTATCTATGAAGCCAGACTTGCTTTGGTTCATTGCACCTTAAAAATAGTTCAAATACCATTGGTTTCACTGTAAACAAAGAATGATTCTAACCCCTAAAATCATTGTCAGTTGTTTTAAAAAAAAAACAAAAACAACAAAAAAAAACCACTTGGAATTGCTTCAATAGTTACTAGTGTTCTCTTATAAAACTAAATAGGCTTTTCCTGTGATGCAACGAAGATTAAAGGTCACATAGTTCAAAATAAATCTTTGCACATTACCAGATTAAGAAAAAATGAAATGTTTCATTAATTAGGCCAACTCCTTTAACCGTTCGTGATGAGGTACAAACTGAAGGGAGGCTGCAGAGACAGGATTATATGGATATATGACTTACCCAAAGAAATGCGCTTTTTTTCTTGCAGAGCTGTTTGCAGAGCTTGAATGAGGGTGGTCTAAGCTTTGAACTTCGCATTGAGTAAAACACAACTGACAATGTGGGCAAATAAAATTTCCTCTAAAGATATGCTATCTTGAGAACTTCCAACAATCCTATCATTACCAAGAGATGATACATGTTTTTGGAATTTTGGATTTGCATTTTGTTTCAGTTACATATTAATAAAATGAAGTAGTATGCTAGAGAAAAGGGAAAGCTTATCTGCATAATTCCACTTGAATCTAGGTTTATACATTGCAAAAAAAGTATGGATATATATGTTTATATTTTTTGTCTGATTATGGAAAAGGTGCATTGGATGGCCATAGCATTCTGGGTAAGTTGCTTTTGTTGTATATTTGGAGTAATCTGACTTATGTGTCTTTGGTCAGTGTACCTGTTCCATGCTATGCTGCAAAGTGCAAGAATTCAAGGAAGTGTCACCATGAGGTCACCAAATTCAGGAAATGTGTGTAGCTATATCAGATTTTTGCAAATGCATATGTTGAATCCTTTACCTTATTGCAGTGTTAATTTGGCAGTTGTACTAAGGGTCAAAATCCTGAATGGGTTAAAACAATAGTGTGTAAATGRCTCCTAGCAATTTCCTTCTGTTGCACAGCACAATGGCTGAGARGATAAAAACTTCTCATTTGGCCCATAGTGTCCCTTAACCTTCACCCCTCTGCTTTGTTCTTTGTTAAGATGATTAGGTGTTTTCCATCTGTACCTTTATGGGAGAAGAATTTCTGCTTGTTAATTCGAGCTGACTTCCTAAGGAAGTCAGGCATATCTGATAATACTTTGCCTGTCCTCTTACCCCGGCAATAACCTTTGAACACATTGCCCAGGTCCAGTTCACTCGGAACGAGGAGCTGAGCTCTCAAAATACAATGTTTTACAAACTTTATGGAAAACTGCAGCTGGGTGGAGAGACCCCACKGAGGATAAAGGTTGTGAAGTGAAACCAGCCCACACTCAACTGTGATCCAGAGCTCTCCAGCCTGAATGCTCTGAGGTCTGATGAGACTTGGAGGGTGAGCGCCAATCTCTATTTGGCTAACATGTAACAGCAATAAGGCACGAACAAGCTGTCAGTTGTCCCCAAACATATTTAATCTATTTTTGGTAATAGTAGGATTGTGTTTTTCAGCAGAGCGTGTTTTCTATTGTTCCCATCTGGAGAGCAGGACTCTTTGCATGGTAGTGATGGATGTGCTTGTGTTTTTCTAGGTTCTTGGTGTCTAATGGGGTTGGACAGAGACTTCCAAGCTCAAGAGTTAGGCAATCAATTTTCCATTGAAAATGTCTTTGTACTTCTGAAGATGTCACCCTGGGAACCTCGGATGCAGTCGCTAGTTTGAGGATTGCTCTTGTGTGATGTATTCCGGGCAAGGTGTG